TATATAGCATTTAGATAAACAGACAAGGAATTTAGTTTCTTGTAGAGTATAACGAAAGGAACGAAATATGCTTTCAAACAATTTTTCTAAACAAAAATGTAAGTAAAGCATTAATTTTTTCAATTTTTTTCTTGATTTGGCAACAATGTAGGGTGGGACAAAGGAGGACTAACGTGTAAGAATCTACTATTGGCTTGCTTTTTTTCAAGGTCAATAATCAAAAATCGTTGATGTACTCACGCAAATTGGACCTATAAAAGTTTAACTTAAAAAATATAACATTCCTTATGAATTAATAAACAAGCAAGTGTTTCCAGCTGTTGATAATCTGAAAACATTTTTTTTGTATTGCTAGGGCAATTTTGCGTAAGAATTAGTTTTTTTTTCTACTAAGAATTTTACAGAAAAATCGTACTTTTTTTTAGCTTTAGAACATGAACTAATACAAAAAGAGGTACAGTGGGGTCTCCAACCCTGAGCCCTCCTAACAGAAAGTATGCGCTTTACCACTAAGCCACTGACAGCTAATGGAATACACAAGGCATACTTTAAGTTTTGCTGTTTGAAAATTTGAGTTCACGATTTAGGAGTAAATAGTAGCAAATTTTTGTGAAGCTTATAAATAAAAGAACTTCTTAAAGGTGGCACTTTCTTGAAGACAGTTTTGAGCTAGAACTTTTCTCAAGGCAAATTTGTGTTGGTTTATTTGTTGAAGCATCTCTGAATTAGCATTTTCTTTAACCCTACCAACAACATGTAATATTTGCAAAATAATGTGGATCTAATGCTATGCATTTAAAAAAAATCGAAGCTTGGGTGAAAAAAAGTGCTACCTCTTAATAGCCTTTAAAAAAGCTTAAACTCGAAATTTCCTATAAAAAAGCTTAAACACCAAAATTTCTGTACAGAAAGCGTTTCCTAAGATTGAGGTTGAAGAAAGTGCTAACTCATAGGAATTATTGTTTTTAACTTTTTGTACAATAGCTGCAGTGATTTTGGTTCCATTATTATGACGAAGCAAAAATTAAAAAGGCACAGGTTACTAATGATTATGTCAATTATACATTGACATGTTAAAGAATTAGTTGTAGTTAAAAAATAGTGAGTTAGTTATTGATTAGTATATATGTTTAAGCTATTTAGATAGGCTGTATGAATAACAGCTCTGCATTGCTGTGTTGCTACTTCCCATGAACATACTATCGTCATTGGCACATTAAGAAACCTCTTAAGATTGATTGTGTGAATCATGCACTTACTCAGCAACGAAGACCAATATTTTACATAGTTTCTAATTTACCGAACCACAGTTGAAAACATGCACATGCGAGCCGCTATGACCAACTACTGAGTAAAGGCTGGGTCTGTCACTTGTGAGTAGGTATTTCCAAGCCCTTAAGCTACAAGGATAGCAGTTATCGTGGCTACTGATCAGCAACCATAATTTAAAACCTTAGATATAAGAAATAAATGTTGGTTGACAGTTAAGACGCCGTCAGTTACGGTTAATGAGCAATTTTGAGTTATCGCAATTTTGCACATGATTGTCATGTCAATTTATCAAATCTTTAATAAATAAGTTAAAAAAAATCAAGCATTATAACTAAGTTATTTTCTACATGCGAAAATCTCTTAGCATTAGAAAAGTGAATGAAAATTAATCAGAATACAGGAAAGCCCCTAATATATTCGTTGTTAATAATAAGTTTTCTTTCGGGACTGTAAGTTCTAATATATTACAAAAAAAATTATGAAGGTAGTTTAAAAAAGGCACCCAAAAAATCACTGTTAAAGACGTTACATCGATAAAAAGTTTCTATAATTCTTTCAAGTTACAACACAGTATATAAACGTTAATTTAATAGTACAGAAGCTGTCTCTATTATGCATCTGTCTATCATTTACATTTAAAATGTTTTGTGCTTTAATGACGCTCAATATGTATAAGTTATGACAACGTTTCTATCGTAGCCTATTTTTATGGCTCATTAAAAAATACAACCAGCTCAGAAAATTAGTGAAAAAGGAGTCAACTTAAATTTTGTTTCAAAAAGCAGTCAACTCAGATTTGGCTTAAGATAGTAGCCAACTTGGATTCAGGTGGAAGAAGAAGCCAACTTGGGAGTAATTTTTTTTTATTAGGTTTCGTCATGGCAGCACTGGCATTCACAATATACGTATGTATACGTTTCCAAACAGAGAATTTTTAATCATTTAGTGTTTGAAAAAAAAAGTTTATTTTGTTGTAATAAAGTGTATTGTATTTATTTAATCGTGTCCTCTACTAGGCTCCTGTGACCATAGGAGAGAGAGAAGTGGCTGAATAATTTATAATAAGACTACAATATCGCATACGAATACAGAAATATACTTTCAACTATATGGAATTTCAGTGTTTACTTTTGTTGATCAGTGGTTACCTTGTTACTATTGTACAAGAATATCACAGTTTTTATGAAACAAATTTGAAATAGTACATCGCATTGATATAAAATTAATGCGTTTAATAAGTAGAAAAAAAGTAAAGACCACAATAGCTACTCAATTTTATACTAAAATTCATAAAAAGAATATCATTAGGAGTTTCAATAAATGAGTTATTCAAGACATTGAATATTAAAAAAAAAATTAGTTAAGCTTTATAAATTAACATTTGAAATAAATGATCTCAACAGTCTGATGACAGAATTCCATCTGATTTCAGCAGACTTGAAGATAACAGAATTCAATAAGAATAGTCAGCTCTATTACAACACACTTTTCTCTGAAATATTGGATGATTGAAAAATCTTTGATTGGAAAGGTATGCATGTATTGCGAATGTCAGTGCTGCCACAACAAAACTTGATGCAAAAAATTACTTCCAAGTTAGCTGCTTCTTTAATTCAAATCTAAGTTGACTGTTTTTTTAACTCAAATTCGAGTTGATACTTTCTTCACTAATTTTCTGAGTTGGCTCTGTATTTTATCGTGCCGTTGATTTGCTTTGCACTTGTCAGTGTAGAGCCACTTATCACTTTAAAATTATTATCTATCACAAAAATGAATAATTATGGCAGCACCATAAAAATGCACAGCAAATGAACGTTAATCAAGAAATGAAAGAGTACTTGAACCCAAAAAAATTAGACGTAGATAACAAACTCGTTCCAAATGTGAAATTGCTTGTGAACCGAGGTACGCTTATCAGTACACCATTCGGAACGAGTCCTGCAAAAGTTATGCTCGTGAGCTCTTTTTACGTATCAGTTATTTAAGTTTGAGGTGAGATGCACAGCCTCACTATCCTTTTTTGTCTGAGCTTGGCACCTATTGTGATCTCAAGAGAATTCAAATACTTCTTTTCAAACTTGTTTCAGTGTGACAGCATCCATACACTATACAAAAATAATTTCCGCAGTTTTATCTGTATCGTGATTGTCTAAGCATATTAGTTATGCTTATTACTTAAAAAATAAGTTTTTAAATAAGATTTGGAGTTTTATAAACGTTTGACCAACATTTAGACTGGTGTCTTAGCAGATTCAAATTTAGTCTTAAAAGAGTATTGATACTGTTACAGTTACATTGCCCTGAGCTAAAATATTTTTTGATCTTCTTGCAGGTCTCAAACAACCAGTGGATCAGGATGTAGCCTCCAAGAGCCTGAGTGATCTTGAGTCACTGGTAGATCAGATACCCAGCATAGCTGAAAGTGGTGGTCAGCGGCTGCCACATCAGCATAATCAACCTGGCCTTAACGATGAGTCGCTGGCTGATAAGCTCGATGCTGCTTCAACCCACCAACCTTACATGTCAGGCTACGGAGCAGTTAGCTCTATTACTAGCCTTAATCCAACCTACAGCCCACCTCTTTCCCAGAGCGGCATTTATAGTGACGCTTATGGTAATTCGATCTACAGCTTGAGCTCTCGACAGCAAGAATCACAGCACAGCAAAGCCTACACAGTTGAAAACCTTACATCAAGCAACTACACACCCACTAACAGTATGGGTCAGCAACAGCATCTACAACACTCTACCTACTCAAACATGATCGCAGGGCCTCATTATTCATTGCCAATATCCGCTGCTGCCGCCGCAGCTGCAGCAGCAACGGCCGTTGCCGTTGTGGGTACCTCACCAACTGGTTATATCTACAGTGGCCTTGAATCTAGTCTAATACAGCGCTCCTACCCATCTATGACTTCTCATCATCATTCGTCCCTACATTGTCCTCAGCATCATATGACTAACTCCTATGTTTATAGCACGGGCCCTTATTCCAGCTCATTCGACCCCTACTCGAGCATCTCCTCACCTTCAAACTCTTCCGGAATCCACACACCACAGACCAACTACCCAGGCTACACAGCCACTAGTAGCCCTGATACTTCTTCAACCCCACCAATCTATATGCACCAGCAACAGAACTTGGGCAGACAGCCGATAAACCTTGCTTACGATGGAGTATGATAATCAGCTTAGCAAGCAAATTTAAACCTGAAGTCAATGGTCTTTTATCACTGATAATCCACAGCTTACGGCAAGTAGCCCGAGTGGAATTGTGCATCGTAGCGCTCCAGCAATGCACTCGATAACTGTACTTAGCCACTGGAAGCTCTGAGTGTTTCTATGAATGTTTGTGTGTGTAAATGTTTATGAGTGTTTATTCGAACGCACACGTATGCGTATACATACGTGTATCTGTGCAATAGGTACGTATCTACTCGTTTTCTTGTATGTTATGTGTACATGGAAAGCGTACTATCAGTTGATGCCATTTGTGATAGTGCCAAGAATTTAAAGATGTTAATAGATTATTTATGACAAGGAAGTAAGAAGTAAAACTGTGCCAGGACTCTTATCAAACTTGACATTTCTTTCTATCACTGCATATTTTTACACAATCATAATGTGGACAAAAAACTTAGTTTGTTTTCAAGGGACTATTTAATTGTTCACAACAGTGATAGGTACTGCATTTCAATGTTTTAAGACCCCTCGATTAAGGGATGTGTCAGAGCATCGTACTATACAGGATTAAAATAGCCGAGTGAATTTTTTGTGAAAAATGATTACAGAAGTGGATCAAGATAAGACTGACATTTGTTAATGTTAAAAGAAAGTTACGAGTCCAATGAATCATGTTAGATAATCTTACTTTTTGTTGAAATCTTGTTAAATAAATTCTTTTTGTCACATTCATTCAAAGTGGCCTGTTATAAGTTTGCATACTATGTACTACTATGTATTACATACTACACATGTAAGTGATAATCAAGTTCTCTGCCTACAAGTCTACAATCAAAAATGTTTTGGATATTGTAAAATTGAAACGACTTTAGGGAAGAAGACCTCACCACTTAGCATATATTCATTGGCCAGCTGTATTAAAATTTTTTTTCGAAGCAAACCATATCAAAATACAGCTCTCCAATGAATAGCTATCATTATTGTAATAAAAAATAATTTTTTTGGCACTAAGAGCATTCAAGTTCTTGCAACAAATAAATATTTGAAAAAAAAGTTCCTCGCCTGTATTACTGCATGCTTCCTAACTACTGCACACCAGTTACTACGTAGCACTAAAAATTGTGCACGAACTGATACGTATAAACTTCTTTATTTTGTCATTAAAAAATATCATTACACAGTTGTTTTTTATAAAAACTACCAAGTGAGCATAAGATAATAGTTTATTCAAGTTTTAATACTTAAAGGAGTAAATAAATTGAGGAAAACTATTTCCGTATGTTTTTTTAAAAAGAATAACATCAAGTTTTTCTTTATGCGGTACTTACAAAAGTGTCTTTGATATTTAGGTAGTTTCTTGCAAGTTGTGTCGGTATGAAACTAAATTTTGTTAAAAAAAATTCTATCCTTAAGCAAACAGCATTTACTTGAGAAATTCATACCTTTACTATAGTAGAGTTCTTGATTTATAATGACTTTTTTGTATGAATAGGATTTCAGGTAAAATGAATTATAGAATGTATTATTTTGAATCAAGTTTTTTTATTGGGTTTAAAACAAAAAACTATGATATAAGAAAAGTATCAGCAGTCTGTTGTATCCGTTTTGGCAGTTTGGCTGACGTTCTTGCAATAACTAAAATGTATCTTAATACTGAGTATCAATTACCGTGCAGTATCAACTTTCATCGATGTCGAATATTTCTTAGTCTTATTTAACAGTTAATATATCTGGAAGATTATAAGTGATAATTATGTCTTAGTTAGAACTAACAGTAAGTAGTACGTTGCCACCGTTATTTAGTTATGTGCTGCAATAAAGTCTTTTATCCCTTTCACTAAGGAACATCATCTCAGATTTTCATAACTTTTACCATATCAGCATCCGTTCCAATGTCTAGCTGCTACCAAGTGTTACTGTAATTTATATTAAAACTTTTCAAAATAAGATATGTAAATTTCTACGTCAAAATCAAAGTTAGACATCATGAAATATCTTGTAATTTTTTCAGAAAAATAATTTCTTGTAATTATTGATCCATGAAAGCTTAGAATGTAATATATACATATATACATCTATCTATCTAATAAAAAGACCCGTAAGACTAAAAATAGCTGCAGTTATAGTAGGAAGAAGTGGAGTGTGTTACTTCTTATTAATAATACTACAAAAAGTATTATTCCAGATTCAGCTAGACTTTTTAAATAACCATAAGCAAGATAGTGCTAAAGGCATTCTTCTCTACAAATTTTCTTTGAGTGAAAAGTTTCAAAAATAATAAGTTGTGGCTCTTGGGATTGAAAAATACTATTGCTCATGCTTCACTATCTAAATGTACGTGAGCTCTTTTCTATTAATCTTTTTGACCTTAGTGAACTTTAGTGAAAGTAATTAAGTAGTCAAATAAAAGTTGTCTACACGAAGTACGACTATTAAGATGTACACGAAAGCATCATTGAAAACATATATAAAATTCATTATAGTGAGGAATCTAAATCTTATAGCACATTTGATGTATTAACATCTAAGACATTGAAATACTTAAGTACATGTAGTACGGAAAAACTCTTTATTAAAAGCTATTTAAAAAATTTTTAAAGTTATACTTCTATAGGTACGTTATACGCAAGGGTAAATCAAGGATCTCTTGACCTTGAGAAAAAGTGTGACGGAAGTGGACTTTGCTTGATTCTCCCCCTTTGCCTCGTCCTCCATGACGTACTTCCGGTTTCCTCTACAACACACTTAGAGCATATATACCTGGAGGGAGCATACAATGCTTCGGCCGCGAGACTAGCAAAGAGAGAGAGGGCCCGTAAAGCAGGATATGCTTTCTCTCTCTTACACTCCGATGATTGGCTAGCCCCCTTCCATGTATATAGTTATAGTCGTCTCTTAGAGTGAAGCTGGTGGGAGAAGAGAGCACATATATAGCTATTCCTCGATACCCCTCTACCTCTTCAGCCAATATATGTATAACTCAAGCTCTGGTGACATACAATTTTTATATTACATCTATTGCAGTCCTAGAAGTCAATGATGATAGCTGAGTGGGCTGCATGAGCCAAATCGTGTTTTTTTTGCAGCTGTAGACCTGGATCAAGTCCCGACTTGGAAATTTTTTTTTTTCATGTTACAGAGTACATTTTCATTAAAAATTTATGCAGATACAATTGGAACATTATAAAATAGTAAAACCTCCTTTAGCTCTAACTAAACTAAAAATATTTTTCAGATGGTCTTGCAACAGTTTCTACTTTAGTAAAAATCCATCATTTTTGTTAAAATGCCAATAAAAAATACTAACGACGTTGAACAATGATGTTACGATTTCACTATTCTTTGGTAAAGAAATAAGAAAAAAATACATAGACGATGTCGTGGATCACTCTGCTGGTTTCGCTATTTGATCAATGTTGAAATAAAATAAAATGTAACCAAAGTCCTTTGATATTCACTTAAGAATCTAGTCATTCAGCTTTGATAGAAATAAAAAATAGAGGTCGTCTAATTATGCCATCACTGAATGTAGTAACAGTTTGCCAAATTGTTGAAAAAGTATTTAAACTGTATTACAAAGGAAAACAAATATATTCACAGAAATCATTAAAAACGAAGAGGAGATGGATGACAATTACTTAAACAAATTATTACTACATACCTACGCATTAGGATTTATCAGTACGAAAAACAAAAAAATACTGCTGCTAAAAAAATTCGAAGAATTTATACCAAAGTTATATGATTTCGCAATTGATAATGTTCCATTAGAAGCAAATTAACAATAGCTGTCTTAAAATCTTGTTTGTACATTTAGTTTCTGTAAAGATGTATTTTTGATGAAAATGTACACTGTAACAAAAAAAAAAAATTTCCAAGTCAGAACTCGATCCAGGTCTACAGCTGCAAAAAAAAACACCACTCGGCTCATGCAGCCCACTTAGCTATCATCATTTACTTCTAGGACTGCAATAGATCTAATATAAAAATTGTATATCACCAGAGCCTGAGTTATACATATATTGGCTGAAGAGGTAGAGGGGTATCGAGGAATAGCTATATATATGCTTTCTTCTCCTACCAGCTCCACTCTTAGAGATGACTACGACTATATACACGGAAGGGGGCTAGCCAATCATCGGAGTGTAAGAGAGAGAAAGCATATCCCGCTTTACGGACCCTCTCTCTCTTTGCTAGTCTCGCGGCCGAAGCATCGTATGCTCTCTCCAGGTATATACCGATAGTTGAGAGGAAGACAATTCCAGCGTGACGTCACTCCGTATTATTTTAAATGGGGTGACGTCACGCTAGAATTGTCTTCCTCTCAACCATCGATATGCTCTAAGACAACACATGACGCCACATGACATTACTACGCCACCACACCACACATTTTCAATTTTATAAGTTTTAATTCTTTTTAATATTGAAATGCAAACTTGGTAGTTTGGAGCATGACTATTTATTCATAGTTTATTTACATCCATCAATATTTTGCTGTCCTGCTGACAGCGTCTTCAGGATTAAAATCATGTGTAATTAATCATGGGAAATTAGTATGTATATAAGCAGAGCAGCTTTCATATAACATTGTAATCAACATTTATTTTCTTAGTATTAATTTGTTACTTTTAAAATAATTAAATAACTGTTTACACAATTCTTCAAATTTTTTCAAAATTTTCAGAAATTACAAAAAACTTTTTTTGTAATGTACAAATACAATAATTAACTTTTGTTGTGTCTTATTTTCGTACAATCTTTCATTCGTTATAATAGTAATTTTCTGATTTGAGGACGTTCTTCACATAGTTAGTAAGGGAAAAGCTCAGAGAAGTAAGAGGAACACTAATGTATGCAGTAACGCTAGCAAGTGTTTTTCTCACATGAATATACTTACATACATGCTTTTACGCACACTTCTTTCTCTCTTTCTAAATTCATTTAAAAACCAACTTGTGGGTGTATTTGAAAATTAAATAGGCTTATCTAAAAGAAATCTTTTGTACTACATTAAACGTTATTTTTTCATAAGATTATATGTTAAATATCGATTTTTTTAATGTAACATATGTAAAATAATGTCACAGTCAAAGGAGCTACAATTTATGTGAGTATTTTTTATGCTTTTTCAATGTACGTTTGCCATTTGAATAATATCTGTCAAAAAAACCTATGTGTGATGAACGTCCTGAAGAGACATTCACTGGTATGTAATACTACCCTATTAAAGAAAGTTTTACTACAGAATGGTTGTTCTTCATTTTCTATATACAATTATATTTTGGGTATTAAATATGGACGAGAAATAAGTGTGGGATCGTATGGGATAGATGTGAGCGTGACGTTACAGGTGTAGTCAGTATAGGCAGTAGGAAGTTGTTCTGAAATCACCGGAAGATTTGATGAAAATGCACAGTCTTATACTGGCCAGCCTATAAATTATTTTTATTGTATTATGCCACAATATATTGTACGTAATCATTAACTTATAAAATATTAAAATATTTATTGACACCCCACCCAACGTACGTAGGTTTACTCTTTCCAACGATAATTGCACCACCTTTGTACACAATATCGTTTCGTAGAAGGTGAGTTTGTATTTATAATTATATTATCTGCCGTATAACTTTATAGAAGTATAACTTCTTACTTGGGTACCCAAGCACCCACTGTCCACTGGTTTTCTAATTTTCAGGTATAGCTTGAATAAATATACCAATCGTATCAGAGTTTGAAAGAAGGTGATTATTTGCACGTATAGCGTTGCTCTCTTCTTCTTAATGCAATAGTCCTTCTGACTCTGTTTCCTCGCTCAAATTTTAATAAATTTTTATATTAGCCATGTTTTGACGACTTTCTGTAGTATTGTTTGTATATACATTTACAGACGTGATGTCACAAGCAGCTTCAGCAGCTTCTGTAGCTGATAATACCGCCCAAGAGTACTTGAACATCTCTTCTAATGATTTTAAGTATCAAGTAAATCAAATTATAAAAGTGCATTCTAATACAAAGAATTTTACTTCTTTTAACACCGGAAATATTTT